ACACACACACACACACACAACTCTATTTCATTACCCAGAATGGCCCAATTGGGATGAGCTCTCCTGTTTCTACTGGGATCCTGAAGTTCCGTGGAGGAAGGGCTCCCTCTGCCCAGAGCAGGCTCTCTGCCCTGGGAAAACCTGCCCTGGGTGCCCCCCCTGCCCAGAGCCGAAGTGGCAGAGGTGCTCCAAGGTTCCCCACCCTCTGTAAGAGATGTGCTTCATTCAGGACCACCAATCAACATCCATCAGGGTTCACAAAGGTCACAGGGAGGTCGAGATGATAAAAGGGAAGCTTACGGATCAAAGGGAAAAGGAGAACAAGAACCAGAAGTGAGCATTCACATCATTCAGGGTGTTTTCTAGGTAGGAAGAAGGAGCACAAAGGAGCCAGGCGTCTTGTGATGCTAGGTTTTACAAAAGGAAGAAGTCTAGGATAGCTTAGTGTGCTACAGAAGAGAATAAGGAAAGAGGAACTGTAGCCTGTCGCATCACTGAGGGAGTATAGTTCTTATCTGCAGGCAACAGAAAGAAGAAGCTCTTTAATCAAGGTAATCACAGCTGGTCCAGATGCTGCTCTGTACCTGCTCAGAGGGATCGCAGCAAGCTCTATGTGACTAAGGAACAATTGGCTGGTTTTTACCCAGACTACCAATCGACACAGTGCACAGTTGTGTTGGTGGGGATCACTCTCTGGCTAACTAAATGAAGAGGTGTGCATGAAACCAAATGAAATCAAGCAATCACACTAGCCTGACAATTAAACAAGTCAAGAAAGGAAGAATCTGCCGCTGCCTGGAAAATTGGGGGCACGCAGTTCTGGAGTTTTTGTTAGAGGAACGGTTGTGGATGAAACAAATGCAAATTTATGTATCAATGCCCTCATTTAACATCATGGAGAGCAAAGACTCAGACAGAACAAGAGCTCAGCTGGATGCTTGTCTGTGTGTGTATGGGTGCCAGCGGGTGCATGCATTCCCCAACATTTGTGTGCATGTGTGTGTGTGTGTGTGCGTGGGGGGTGCACTCTCAGTTCTTGGTTATGTGTGTCTGTTTAAGGCTGTGTTTGCTTTTCAGGGATGCTGCTGTTCTGTGATCAAAAGGAGAAGCACGAAGGGAGAAAGGAGAGAAAAAAGGGGCAAAGCTATTATTCCCCAAAGACAGCAGTTTGTTAGTTGGAGACACAGCTTTAATCAGACGCGCTGTGGCTGTTGACAAACACGATCACAGGGGGGCGAGTGTAAATTCCTTTTCCAATCCACAAAATGACCAGTGGGGAAATGAAAACGTGTACAGAGCATGGAAAGGAAATTTGTCCTGCCGTGCTACTCTGGAGCAAAAAGTTTAGTAGAAATAGAGACTTTAGACTATTGAGAAAAGATATC